GATTGTGCCACTGCCCTCCAGCCTGGACAACAGAGTGAGACCGTGAATCAAAGAAAATAGTAATACATTTGTTCGTGCTGCCGTTAGAACACACACCGATGGGGCAGCTTACACATTGGATGTCTCCCGTGTCGGAGGCCAGAGTCCAAGATCAGGGTGTCGGAGGGCTGGGTCCTTCTGAGACCTCCCTCTTGGCCACCCTCCCCAAGCCCTCACATGACCTCTTTTCTGTGTGTCTTCTAAGGACGTCAGACAAGTTGAATTACGGCCCCCCCATGTGACCTCTTTTAACCTCAGTCACCTCTCTAAAGGTCCTGTCTGCCAGTACGGCCACAATCTGGGGTGACCAGGGGTTGTTTTCACCCTATGAATTTGGGGAGACACAATCCAGTCACCTATAAATACACACGCAAGTCCTGACCATTAATTTTTGCCAACGCATCCTAGAAAAGGTCCCTCATGGCTCCGTCCCTCATGGCTGAATATCCCCATGGTCCCCTTGGAAGTCCTCTCCTTGGGGAGCCACACACTGAAGCCAGCACCTGGTCCACCCGGCAAAGTGGTTTTGGAACTCATTTTCTGGAATGGCCATCAGAGCCGTCATCGTTATTTGTGGAGGTCTGACCATCAGGTCCGTGAACTTGCTACCTGTACAGACATGGGCAGCCCTGTACCAATCACCGTATTGGGACACCCTCCCTCCTCCCCTGATCTGGTCCCCGATGACTTTTTTCTTTACCCGAAGATAAAGGAAATATTGAAAGGAAGACATTTTGGTGACATTCAGGACATCAGGGATGATACGACGACAGCTCTGATGGCCATTCCAGAAAAAAAGTTCCAAAATTGCTTTGCTGGGTGGACCAGGCGCTGGCGTCGGTGCGTGGCTTCCCAAGGGGAGGACCTCCAAGGGGTCCACGGTGATATTAGCCATGAGGGATGGACCACTTTTTCTAGGATGGTTCTCGAACCTGATGGTCACACCTCGTATAACAAACACATGTATATATGATCTTGCAAAAAAGAGACTGAAGAAAAGAGTAGCCGGGCTCGGTGGCTCAGCCTGTAATCCCGCGCCTTTGGGAGGCTGAGGTGAGTGGATTGCCTGAGCCCGCGGGTTCGAGACCCGCCTGGGCAACTGCGGCGAGACCTCATCTCTACAGAATC